AGCGATGAATCCAGGATCACCCAGGATCATATTATCAATATTATATGTATACCATATATTATATTACTTGCATAGCACAATATTAGTATTATATAGTACTATATTGTTGCTAAGGGGAGGAGCCCCCAACTGATGGCACAGGAGACAAGGTGGAACAGTCTTCCTGGTTTCCCCTCTTCACTCTTGCCCTAGAGCTGAAGTTGGTGCTGTGTGGAGGGTCCCCCAACTGATAGCACAACCTCTGAGGATGCCTGCCGTAGATGGAGGTGAAACGTCAGGAGAGAATGCTTCTGGAACATGGCCATACAGCCTGGAAAACACACAACAACCCAGTGATTCGGGTCATGAAAGCCTTCAAGAATACATTATTATTAATGATTAGCATCATCATCACCGATATTATTATTATTATTATTATTATTATTATTATTATTATTATTATTATTTAAGAGTTCTATCAGAAGCCCTGATCTACCATCTGCGTTCTCCCTGAAAATGAAATGTAAGGATGTTGGAAAGCGTGGTTTGCAAGACTGTGAATTTCGTAAGTGAGTGAGCATAACTAGGGGCCATTCTAATAATTGAAAGCTGTGACCTATTTACGGAAAGATGAGTCATTCCAGCCCCGCTATAGGCCAAGCTGGAGAATGAATGTTGTGGGCTTTATCAAATATTAATACGGTAAGAGGAGACTGGTCTACTCTAGCAGCTGAATAAGGTGCAAAGAGAGCTACAATTGTAAAATACACATTTAAATTATTGCTTTGCAAGTGCAGAGCAATAATTTAAATGTGTCTCTTGTGCAAAGCGAGCAAACATACAGACAGAAAACAAGAGCCGCAGAAAGGTTTCTCCCTCAGGTGCTGCTTCTTGCAAAACTTTACATGCAATCATCTCCTCCCAATTTGCTAAGGTTAGGAGTGCAGAACAAAAGTGGAAAAATGCAATTTTTAAAACACTATTTTTAAAAATATAAAAATAGTTGGGTCCTCCAACATAACTCTGTGGCAGACGTTGATTATATAATCACCCTGGATGACCTAAAGATTCCTAGAGATAACCTATTAATCAAATCCATGAATAATCTAATCTGCAGATATGGAGTGCCAATCATACTTGGCATCCTGTAACTTCAATCTGATTTGGGTATAGTCTTCTCTCGCACAAAAGAAGGAGCAACCCGGTTGTCCCTATGGCCTCCAGACATTATGGAATAACGTCCGCCAGTATTTAAAAACTCTAAAATCAGGACAGTAAATAAAGAATAGAGGAATTCCTGACAGGAAACTATCAGTGCCAGCGAACACCTCCCAACAAAGGATTCCCCCAGGGAGGAAAGAGCCTGGCTTTGAAGCTGCAAGGATATTAAATGCTAATCAGAGTGATCAATTGCAACATTCACACTTGCCTCGAGCAGTCAATAGTTCATTCTTCCATCTGGACATTCCATAGACATATAAACCTCACTTGCCAAGTTTCCAACAGACCTCACAACCTCTGAGGATGCCTGCCACGGATGCAGGCGAAATGTCAGGAGAGAATGCTTCTGGAACATGGCCATACATAGCCGGGAAAACTCACAACGAACCTGTTATGGAATACAGTCACCAACATTTCTGGTCATGGGCTGTTCTAGTTGGGATGCATGGGAATTTATGTCCAAAGTCATCTAGATAACACCAGGTTGCCAGATCCAAAAAGATAAAAGTGTGAATAGCAAATCTGGGGAAACTGTTTGTGATTATGATTATTTATTGTTGTCGTTCTTAGATACATTAGCAGGCTCTCTGCTATATACTCATATATTTTCTACTCTATATTCATAAAGAGGTGAAGACCTCGGCGGAGAAAAATAAATTTGTAATTTTTGGGCCACTGAGGATCTCCAAGCCAGTATGTCCAGTGTGAATTGTAGTCCCTCAAAAAAAAACTTTTCCAAACCCGGCATTAAGAATGGAACCAATAGCATGGTTCCTCTGCTCTTTTTTCTCTGCATGCGTTTGATGTGAATTGAACTTTTTGTAGATATACCAGAACATGTGAAGGCAGGATTATTTTTAATATATATGTGTTATCGTGATAATTTTATGCTTATGTTGTTTTGTTACTTTTATGTTATGCTGTTTACTTTGTATGTTTTGGTGATGTTGCTTGGAAACCACCCTGAGTCCCCTCGGGGAGATAGAGCGGTATATAAATAAAGTTTTATTATTATTATTTTATTATTATTAAGGAGAAATGAGATGCCAAATGTATCTTATCATGCAAGTGCACACACCTGAGTCTGCATTTGGTGGCGCAGCAGGTTAAACCGCTGAGCTGCTGAACTTGCTGACTGAAAGGTCAGTGGTTTGAATCCGGGGAGTGGGTTGAGCTCCTATTGTTAGGCCCAGCTTCTGCCAACCTAGCAGTTTGAAAACATGCAGATGTGAGTAGATCAATAGGTACTACCTTGGCAGGAAGGTAATGGCGCTCCATGCAGTCATGCTGGCCACATGACCTTGGAGGTGTCTACGGACAATGCTGGCTCTTCAGCATAGAAATGGAGATGAGCACCACCCCCCAGAGTCGGACATGACTGGACTTAATGTCAGCAGAAACCTTTACCTTTACTTTAATATGTGAACGGGCTTTAGGCGGAGTTCCATGAAAAAAGAAGCCTACTGCTATGAAAGTTTCTTGGATAGGCAACAATTATTCTGGGTTTTGTTTCTTAAATGACCTTATACTTTTAGAAGGACCAAGAATGTCCTTTTTTTGGACTATTTTCCCTCCAGAGTGGTTTTTTTTCCCCAAAGCATGAGCAGCCAACCTTGAACTTAATTACTTACACGACATGAAGGTCACATCACTTGTCATTTAGCCGGTCCATTGTTCTGAGACCAGAACAGAAGTGTGACAACCCTTTTTGTTCTTCGTATAATTGGGCTTTGCTTAATATAGATGCCCTTTGCATCGGTACCTTCTCTGACACTCAAGAATGGTCGCTTATACAGCTACTCCTCATTAACTCGATATTCAGTTTGTGAAAAGTGGGCACTTCACTTGAAGAATCCAAACTTTGGCACCTTGAAAGCACATTGCATTCCTGAGTAACGTCAGAATTAATGCAGTGAAATAGGATGGTGGAATGATATTTTTTTTTTTGTGCATCAGGAGGGACTTGAGAAATTACAAGTCGCTTCTGGTGTGAGAGAATTGGCCGTCTGCAAGGATGTTGCCCAAGGGACACCCGAATGTTTTACCATCCTGGGGGGAAGGATTCTCTCATGTCCCCACATGAGAAGCTGGAGCTGACAGATAGGAGCTCACCCCACTCCCCAGATTCAAACCACCAACCTTTCAGTCAGCAGTCCTCCTGGCAGGAGGGTTTAACCGCCGGGAGCTCCATGGTGGAGTGATTATGAATGACACCAACTGGCATTCGAAGTGGGATAGTGTATCAGGGTGCATGCCATAATTTTTAAGATGCTGAATTGGATATTCATTGTGTTTTGATTGACCTGACGACCTCTGAGGATGCCTGCCATAGATGCAGGCAAAACGTCAGGAGAGAATGCTTCTAGAACATGGCCATACAGCCTGAAAAATCTACAACAACCCACTGAATGTTTTCTGTTTATAAATGCATACAGGTTGAGCATCCCTTACTTGGAATTTGAAATATCCAAAATCTGAAATTGTTCATACAACTGTCTGAGATAGTGGCACCTTTGCTATGTGATGGTTGAATGTACACAAGCTTTGTTTCATGCACCAAAGTATTAAAAATATTGTCTAAAATTGCCTTCAGGTACTGTGTATTAGCTGCATATGAAACATAAAAGATATTTGTGTATAGAATAAGGATACATGTCCAAGATATCTCATGATGTATATGTGCAACTGCAGGTATTCAAAAACAATAAATACTCATATATTCCTGAGTATAAGCCGACCTGAATATAAGCTGAGACACCTAATTTTACTACAAAAAACTGGGGAAACGAGTATAAGCCGAGGGTGGGAAATGCAACAGCTACTGTTAAATTTAAAAAAAAAAAATACATACCAATAAAATTACATTAATTGAGGCAATGTTTTTGAATATTTACATAAAACTTCAATTTAAGATAAGACTGTCCAACTCTGATTGCACCATTATTCTAACTTACTTCAATGTAAATGTGCTTACGTATCCTTCCAATAATAATAGAGTAAAATAATAAATTTAATAATAATAATAATACAGTAAAATAATGAAAATGTAATAACAGTAATAATAGAGTAAAATAAAACATGTAATAATAATAATAATAATAATAATAATAATAATAATAATAGAGAAAAAGAATGGAAATGTAATAAAAAGACGTGGCTTTTTGAACAAATGTTTGCCAATGCAGAGTAACTGCCATAGGAAAATAGAATGACTAGACAATGAGTCCGGTCAATGTTTTTAACAAGGAGACACTATGAATTTATATTTTATTGATTTGTTTAGTTTTTATTATATGTTATGTTTTAATTGTATTTATGACATTGTAAACATTGAATTTTGCCCTGTTAACCGCCTTGAATTGCCTACGGGCTGAGAAAGGCGGTATACAAATACAGTAAGTAAGTAAAGTTAATAATAAATAAAGTAAAATAATAAATGTAATAATAATAATAATTAAAATAATAAATAACCTCGAGTATAAGCCAAGGGGATCTTTCTCCGTCCAAAAAAGGTGCTGAAAAATTCGGCTTATACTTGAGTATATACGGTAATCCCAACACTTTTGGTTCCAAGGATTTCAGATAATGGATATATGTATAATCTATATTACACAATCAATGTATAGGCCAAAGTCCACCATTCTCTTAATATGTTCTGGTCATGTTGTGTCCCTCAAATATGTTTTGTGGTGCAGCCACCTCTTTTTTCCCACCCAATCCCTTTTCAATATCTACCTTTCCAATAACGGTGAAGGTGGAGAACCTGCAGTGCTTATGTTGTGTCTTTTGTGTATTATCAGGACACTCTGTTTCCTTACATCAAAGAAAACATTCACGACTACCTGAGGACACACTGGGAGGAAGAAGAATGCCAAGAAGATGTTGGCCTATTGAGGAAACAGGTGACCATTTTTATCGCCTTTTTCTTTTCTAATAATTTGTTTCATGACAGCATGGTCATGGTTGCTGCTGCTCTGTATCTTCAAGTTGAGACCAACTTATGGTGACTCTATCATAGGGTTTTCTTGGCTACATTTATTTCATGGAGGTTTGCCATTGCCTTCATCCAAGGCTAAGAGTTTGTGACTTGCCCACAATCCATGGCTCTGTGTAGGGATTTAAATCTCAAGAATCACAACATCCCATTGGTTGGCTGTCTGTATCTTGAGCCGACTCTTATGCCAAATGGGCAACCTGTGAACCAAAATCTAAACACATGAAGTCGTCAGTCTGATTTTGAAAGCTCTGGGCACCAGAGTTCTGCAAGATTGTTCTTTCTCTTTCCTCTTAGGATGGAGATGGTAGACTCCCATCTGTCTTTAGCTCTGGCTCCATCCACTGCTATTTCAGCCTTTTCTCTAGCAGATTGTATCCATGACAAATTAACCTAGAGCAGCGTTTCTCAACCTGGTGGTCAGGACCCCTCGGGGGTGGGGGGTGGGGGGGGGGGTTGCAAGGGGGTTTCAGAGGGGTCACCAAGGACCATCAGGAAACACATATTTCTGATGGTCTTAGGAACCCCTTTGGCAGAGAAGGCAGAGATCTCTCCGACTGTCCTCTTCATTTTTGGAAATAGATAGTGAATCCTCCCACCAAAACCCCCCCTCTGCTGTGATTGGCCAGCCTCTCAGCCAAGGGGAGGGCTGTTTCTGAGACTCCAAGCAAGGAGGATAGAGCAGGCGTGCTTGGTGCACACATGTGTGGGCGAGGGAGAGCATGCAAGGCTGGAGGGAGGCTCGCACCAGTGAGTCCTTTCAGGGCATGGGGTTTCTGTGTGGGAAGTTTGGCCCAATTCTATCATTGGTGGAGTTCAGATTGCTCTTTGATTGTAGGTGAACTATAAATCCCAGCAACTACAACTCCCACATGACAAAATCAATCCCCCCCAACTCCACCAGTATCCAAATTTGGGCATATTGGGTATTTGTGCCAAATTTAGTCCAGTGAATTTAGTCTTGACATCGTGCATATATATTTACATTATGATTCATAACAGTAGCAAAATTCCAGTTATGAAGTAACAATAGAAATAATTTTATGGTTGGGGGGGTCACCACAACATGAGGAACGGTATTTAGGGGTCGCGGCATTAGGAAGGTTGAGAACCACTGACCTAGATAGAATGTGACCCTTAACATAATAAGGCTTACCAAAGCTCATAGGTTCTAAAAGTTATCTTTTTGGACTATAGCTTCCAGGATTTGTTGGCCACACAGGCATGTCTGGTAGTTTAGATTTCTCTCATATTCACACATTTCAGATCTGCAATTTTCTTTGGGCCAGACTCTAAAGATATTTGTCTGACTTGGCCACAGTGGTCCACGCTCTGGATACATCCCGAATAGACTACTGCAACACACTCCACGTGGGGTTGCCTCTGAAAACTGCCTGGAAGCTATAATTAGTCCAACGGTTGGCAACCAGGTTGCTTACGGGAGCAAGGTACAGGGAGCGCACAACTCCTTTGTTACACCAGCTCCACTGGCTGCCAATCAGCTTCCAAGCACAATTCAAAGTGCTGGTTTTAGCCTACAAAACCCTGCATGGTTTACCTGTCCAAACGCATCTCCTCCTATAAACCTTCTAGGATGTTAAGATATTCCAGAGAGGCCCTGCTCTCGGTCCCACCACCTTCACAGTCGCGCTTGGTGGGGACGAGAGACAGGCCTTCTCTGTGATGGCCCCCCAGCTATGGAACACTCTCCCTGGCGAGATTGGATCTGCCCCCTCCCTCCTTTCCTTCAGGAAGCAGTTAAAATCCTGGCTGTGGAATCAGGCATTCGCAGATTGATGGATGACCCGGTACAATTTAAGTGGTAATGGACAACAACAATTGGATTGAGTTTGACGATGAGTTGGATGATGTTTTAACTTGATGAACTGTTTTTATATGCATTTTAGAGCTTATTTATTGTATGTTGTTTTATGATGTTATTTATTGTATTGTATATCATTGAATTTTTGCTGTTAGCCGTTCTGAGTCCCTCCACGGAGGTAGAGAAGAGCGGGATACAAAAGTTCTAAATAAATAAATTTGTGAATTTAGGTAAATTCTTATCAGTGAGAAAGTGAAATATCAGTCATTTTGAATCCTCCCTGATATAATTCGACCTGTAATCATTTCCCCTACTCTGCTCCTACCTTCATTATACAGAATCATGTGTTGTCATGTTGAGATCTCATTTTGGTTTCTATTGATTATTAACATGGTCTCTCTCTCTCTCCAATCTCCAAAGGCTGAAGAAGATTCTCACTTGGGTGGTGTTGTTCCTATCCCAATGGAAAGTAGGGATGGAGAAGAGGAGATTGAACGTGTCATCCAGGCCGTTGTGGACAATGTCAGCTGGCAGATGTCTTTAGACAGAAAGACAATGGCTTTGAAACAGCTCCAGGGTCACATATGGAGGGCAGCGTATGAGAATGGTCGTGTGAAGGGAGAGTGAGTAGCAAGTTTGTGGGATTCTAGTACATCGTTGCCTTCAAAGGGCTGTTGAATGCATAGATAAAGAATCTGTGCATATGGTGAGCCAGCTGTAAATGCTCGCCAGGCACGACCCTCTGTACCCGTGGTCCTAGTCTAAATTCAACCTCACATTGACTCTGAAAGCTTAATGCAATGGAAGATGTAGTTTGTAGAAACCAAACCTTTGTAGAAACCTTCCATTGGTGAAGGGGCCACAAGCGTTTGAGAAGTCTTGCTCTAATGAACTACAGAACAAACAAACAGACTCTCTGATTCTAAGTTAGAAAATTACACACCCCAAGATTTCCTGAGACAAAACCATGGCAATTAAAGTAGTATTGAAGTACGACAATTGTGTAGTTTAGATACACAACATCTATGCACATAATAAAAGTGAAAATATATATGTGGGTGTATGTGACTGGGGTGCCCACTTTCACAGACAGGCTCCTGCCTCCACAAACACCTGTGAGCAGCCACCAAAGGCACTCCCTCCAATGACATTGCGGGTTATAGTGAGTGCTGTGAACATGTACAACACTTGCCAGTGTCCTTCACAAACACAGTATTACCCACCACCCAATATCATCCTAGATTTTTTGTTTTTCCTCCACCAGAGACATCCCAATGTTTCTTACTCTCTCCATTGGTGTGAAATTTGCATAATCCCACCCATTGCCTCCCCATAACTCTTTTCTATACTTTGCTATGGCACACAGAAAACAGGAATTGGTCAGCAACTGAACATACTAAAAAGGTTTGGGAAGAATTCACCATGATTTATAGGAGTTGTAGGTCCTGGGATGTATAGTTCACCTGCAATCTAAGAACTGCATTCTGAACTCCCCCAATGATGGACCTGGATCTAACTTCTCACACAGAACCCCCATGAACAACAAAACTTATTGGAAGTCTTTGGAGAGGATTTATAGGAGTTGTAGTTCCCCAGAGTACATCCAGAGCACACTATGAACCCAAACAATGATGGATCTGAACCAAACTTGGCATGCACACCCAATATGCCGAAATTTGAATACTGGTGGGTTTTGAGGGGAGTTGGCCTGGATATTTTGAAGATGCAGGTGCTGGGATTTATAGTTCACCTGTAATCAATGAGCACTCTGAAAATCACCAAAGATGAAATTGGCACACAGAGTCCCCATGACCAGCCAAAAATATTGGAGGTCTTTGGGGAAAATTCATCTTGATTTGAGGGAGTTGTAGTTCACCTACATCCGGAAAGCACTGTGAAACCAAACACTGATGGATCTGAACCAAACTTGGCACGCATACCTGATATGTCGAAATTTGATTATTGGGTGGGGTTTGGGGAAAACGGACGTTCATTTCTGGGAGTTGCAGTTCACCACACATATTGCCAAAAATACAGAAATAATTCCCAAAAGTGGCTAGAACTCTATGTAAAAAAAATACGTTTTGATGTTAAATAAAGCAGTGATCCCCTGATAATCTGTTTTCAAAAAGTGCTTTGTTTAGAGATTTCCAAGAAAGGTTACCAGTTTTCTTTGTTTTGGCTAGCAAGTTGTCAGTTGGGAAATTTGGGACAAAAGGTCACAAAAGCAGTGTTGGCGGCCACATGCAGCCCAAAAGCTCCTCCGTTTCCCCGCCCACTTGTTCTGCCTAGGAATTTTGTTCCCAGCTGGCATTCTTTCCAGTCTGAACTTGGTCTGTTAACTTGAGACAAAAAGGAGGCACTCTCCCTGAAGACGCAGGTTTGCAGCTTGGGAGTTCTTCTGGGCTCATAGCTGAGCCTGGAACCTCGGGTTTCAGCAGTAGCCAGGGGAGCTTTCACACAACTAAAACTTGTGTGCCAGTTGTGCCCATACCTTGGGAAGTCAGACATAGTCATGGTCGTCCATGCTCTTGTTATGTCTCACATAGACTACTACAACACACTCTACGTGTGGCTGCCTTTGAAGACAGCCCGGAAGCTTCAACTACTCCCCATGGGTGGCAGCCAGATTTCTAACTAGGGTGGCGTACAGAAAGCATACTACTCCTCTGTTACGTTAGCTCCACTGGCTGCCAGTCTGCTACCGGGCCCAATTCAAAGTGCTGGTCTTGGCCTATAAAGCCCTATATGGTTCTGGTCTAACTTACCTGTTCAAACGTATCACCCTCTGTTGTTATTGTTCATTCGTTCAGTCATTTCCGACTCTTTGTGACCTCATGGACCAGCCCATGCCAGAGCTCCCTGTCGGCCGTCACCTGCCCCAGCTCCTTCAGAGTCAGTCCAGTCACTTCAAGGATGCCATCTATCCATCTTGTCCTTGGTCGGCCCCTCTTCCTTTTTCCTTCCATTTTCCCCATCATGATTGTCTTCTCTAAGCTTTCCTGTCTCCTCATGATGTGGCCCTCCCTCTAGGAGCCTACAAGAGCTTTAAGATTGGCTGGGGAGGCCCTGCTCCCTGTCCCAACCTCTTCTTTTGATTTTCTGTTGTGTTTTTGTGTAATGTGGTTCTGTATGGATGGGTTGTTCCAGTGCCTTCCCAGAATAGGAAACTCCAAGTATCATGTCCCATATGCACTTTACTAGAGATTTAAGATTGTCTGCACATTGCACCTATTGCCAAAAACTACCCATTTCACCTGGTCATGTCGAGCATTTTTAAAAGAACTTTTAACCACTACATTTGGCCCGGCCATAGTTTTTAAATTGCGTTGTGATGTTATTGTGTAATGTTTATTGTTATTGGTTTGTGTTTATTGCTTTGTTTTTATGAGTTTATTTATTGTTGTATTTGTTATGTTGTTGTTTCACTGATGTATTTGGCCTTGGCCTCTTGTAAGCCGCACCGAGTCCTTCGGGAGATGTTAGCGGGGTATAAATAAAGGATGATGATGATGATGATGATGATGATTATTATTATTATTATGGGCGTGGCCTCATGTAAGCCGCCCCGAGTCCCCTTTGGGGAGATGGTGGCAGGGTATAAATAAAGTTTATTATTATTGTTGTTGTTGTTGGTTGGGACAAGAGACAGGGCCTTCTTAGTGGTTTCCCCTTGGCTGTGGAACTCCCTCCTCAATGGCATCAGGCAGGCTTCATCCCTCCTGGTTTTTAGAAAGAGACTTAAGACCTGACTTTTTATGCAGGTGTTTGGTAAATAGGAAACTACGGAATGAGACTTTAACAGCTTGAATAATGGACTGTGGATTTGGGGAAACGATTCGGACATGAGATCATGACTCGGTGTTTTATATGTGGTTTTTAGTCTGCTTGATAGATTTTAATTGTTTATATGCTTAGATTGTTTATTTTTTTTATGAGATGTGTTTTCTTGATTACCTGTGCGGCACTGAATTTTTGCCAGATTTGTAAGCCGCCTTGAGTCCCCTCTTGGGTCGAGAAACTTGGGGCAGAAATAAACAAACAAATAAACAAACAAACAAATAAATAAATTTAAACTTGATTTCAAGATTTCTGTAAATAAATAAATAAACGTAAACTCCTTTATGTTATCTGTTATTGTCCACCGTTATAGGTTCTTTGAGGATGTCGTCCCAGCTGTGAAGAAATGGAGAGAAGCAGGAATGAAGGTTTATATTTATTCTTCTGGGAGTGTGGAGGCACAAAAGCTCTTGTTTGGGAACTCTACGGAAGGTGACATTTCATCAGTAAGTGTTATTTTCAAAGGTTGTCCTCACTCCTTCATTTCTAAAGTGTTCTTTTTTTAAGGCTTCTCCCCTTTTAAAACAAATTTTGTTCCTTACTTTTCCAGCTCTTTGATGGCCACTTTGACACTCAAATAGGCCCTAAAGTCGAAAGTGAGAGCTACCAGCGGATTGCGTCAAGCATTGGGTGCTCCACAAACAACATCCTGTTTTTGACGGATGTCACTCGAGGTATGAATATTGCTCGGGATGTCCTCCTTTTTATTCTTAGTCCAGATCTTATCAAAATTACTTTTTTATTACAATGCCCAAGAATTCCCCCAGCCACATGGCTATTGACCAGAGTAGATTGAGAAATTCTACGAAATAATAAAAACATCCCTATCTTTAGCAAGATGTTGTATACTGAAAGCTGCAAAATATTTGATACCAAAAAATATCCCTATATAGAAAGAGTTTGCCAGATATTTGTTGTACATGTTCATGACTGGGTTGCTGTGAGTTTTCTGGGCTATATGGCCATCTCCAGAAGCATTCTCTCCTGACGTTTCACCCTCAGAGGTCGTGAGGTCTGTTGGAAACTAGGCAAGTGAGGTTTATATAACTGTGGAAAGTCCAGGGTGGGAGAAAGAACTTGTGACCACCTTGATTAGCATTGAATGGTCTGCAGCTTCAAAGCCTGGCTGGTTGCTAATTGGAGGAATCCTTTGTTGGGAGGTGTTAGCTGGCCCTGATTATTTCCTTTCTGGAATTCCCCTGTTTTTTGAGTGTTGCTTTTTATTTACTGTCCTGATCTGTCCTCAGAGGATGCTTGCCATAGATGCAGGCGAAACGTCAGGAGAAATGCCTCTAGAACATGGCCCTATAGCCCGAAAAAACCCACAAGAACCTAGTGATTCCAGCCATGAAAGCCTTCGACAATACACTGGTAGACATTGTTCCATAACGTCTGGAGGCCATAGAGAGAATTGGGTTGCTCCTTCTTTTGTGCTAGAGAGGACTATACCCTAATCAGGCTAAAGTTACAGATGCCAAGTATAATCATCACTCTACATTTGCAGATTGGATTATTCATGGATTTGATTAATAGGTTATCTCTAGGAATCTCCAGGTCATTCAGGGTGATTACATGGCCAGAGTTATGTTGGAGGACCCAAATATTACTAGAGACATATTTTCTCAGATTTCAAAAAAAATGTGAGTTTTTAAAAATTGCTTTTTTCCATTTTTGTTGAGATTCTGCACTCCTAACCTTAGCAAATGTGGAAGAGATTATTGCGAGTTTTGCAAGAAGCAGCACCTGAGGGAGGAAGGTTTTAACCCTGGTCCACTTTCTGTGTTTCTTGTTTTCTGCCTGTACAGCATTTGCATACTTTGCACAAGGTATTCATCACCTTGATCAGCATTTGATTGTAATTAATCACCTTGATTAGCATTTAATCAGGGCCAGCTAACACCTCCAAACAAAATATCCCCCAGGCAGGAATCAGCCAGACCTTGAAGCTCAAAGGCCATCAAATTATCATCAAGGTGGGAACGAGAGACAGGGCCTTCTCTGTGGTGGCCCCTTGGCTATGGAACTCTCTCCCAAGCGAGATTAGATCTGCCCCCTCCCTCTTGTCCTTCAGGAGGATAGTGAAATCCTGGTTATGGAATGAAGCATTCCCAGAATAATGGCTGAGATTGGTTACAGACCAAAATGAGTGACCACATATGCAGACTGAGTTGAACATGATTTTACCTTGGCGATTTGGTATATATGTATTTTATCTATTTGTAGTTTAATCTTGTATTGTTGTATGATGTTTTAACTTGTATTAGTAGCATTGAATCCTTGCTGTAAGCCGGTCTGAGTGAGAAGATCAGGATATAAAAGTTTTAAATAAATAAATAAATAAAATTAAAACATTTACACTTGCCTCCAACAGACAAGAGTTCTTTCTCCCACCGTGGACCTTTAACATATATATAAACCTCCCTTGCCTAGTTTCCAATATACCTCACAACCTCTGAGGATGCCTGCCATAGATGTGGGCAAAACATCAGGAGATAATGCTTCTGGAACATCACCATACAGCCTGAAAAACTCACAGCAACCCAGCGATTCCAGCCATAAAAGCCTTCGACAACACAATGTTCAGGATTGTTTGATAGCTTTACCTATTTGGTTATAATGTATTGCATTCAATTTCTGTTTTAAGCTATTGAAGAAAAAGCCATTGATTTTGAAACACACTGAGCACACTGAGTTGGTCTTAAAGAGTTCCTAGTTTGGCCAAGCACTGGATTTTCTATCCTCCTCATAAATACTAGCAAGTCAAGGAAAAGGCTAGGTTAGAATGCTGTCCCTAACACAGCGGGGTCAAAAAATGATGGGGTCCATATCTAAATTATGTGCTGCAGGCTGTGTGTGTACATGGTACTGCAGAGTAAATTGGGAAGACTGAACTAGTTTTTGCTCTTATTTGCAAGCTGGTGATGATAACATACTATAGAAGTTACTATAGTCAGTGCTGAGTAATGATGGAATTTGTAGTCCAACAATAACAGGAATGTCATAGTGATCCTGACCAGCATATGACCCTGAAATAATGCATTGGAGATATCTTTGTTGAACCAGATGGATAGATTATTTTCACTCTTTGTCCCCCTTAGAGGCAGACGCTGCAGAAGAAGTTGACATGCATGTGGCTATCGTTGTCCGGCCTGGCAATGCGGGGCTGACAGATGACGAGAAATCATATTACAGACTCATAACCTCTTTCAACGAACTGTTCCTGCCTTCGTCCACTTAAGAAGCCCATTTTTTACAAGGGATTTTGAAAAGAAGATGGGATACCATCTGAGAAAATTCTCCTTATAATTTATGGCAGTTTCGTTGCTAGTGATGAGAATTTCTGAGAGAGAAGTTAATTTGGATCCTTGATCTTCTGGTGAGAGGCAATTGAGGCCAGTAAGGTGTATCCATCCATTGATCTTGTGAATGCATTTCAAATTGAGCAGCCGTTACAAAGCCTAGCGATTGTTGACTCCCTGTCTTCGGAATGGCACGGAAGAACCAGAAAACACAATTTGTCGGGAGTTTCTCTGGCACAAGACCTTTGACTGCACCATGTTTCTCCACCCTTGTGTACTTCCCATTCATCTGAAAAGGACCTTGCTTTAGAGAGCATCCTGATGGACTACATGCAGCATGTAAACCCCAGAAAACAGTCCCTTAGCTTTATTCCTTCCTGCAAATAATAATAAAAGTATCCTAAGTTTAAAACCTATCTCACCTTCCCTTCACCCTGCCAGCCTGGGAAAGTTGGAGAGTGAGCCAGGCCACCAACAAAACCGCACCTGGCTCTTAAGAAAACACAATCATTTACGATCTCAAAAATGAGGGGGCTACTTCACCGAGTCTTTCATGGGGGATGATAGTGGTCCAACCTGGGCTCAGACCCTCCTAGGTACTCTGCCAGTGAGCAGGTGAGGGGAAAAGGGGGGGGGGGCGATTAGCTGTGGTCCATAAAGACCATCTTAACCTTATCAGACTACCTATTAAGGAGCTTAATCACATTAAGTGTGTGTAAAAGTCAAGGTAAAGGTTTTTCCTGACATTAAGTCTAGTCGTGTCCAGCTCTGGGGTCGTCATCTCCATTTCTAAGCCCAAGAGCTGGCGTTGTCCATAGACATCTCCTAGGTCATGTGGCCAGCATGACTGTATGGAGCGCTGTTACCTTCCCGCTGGAGCTGTACCTATTGATCTACTCACATTTGCATGTTTTCACACTGCTAAGTTGGCAGAAGCTGGGTCTAACAGTGGGAGCTCACTCTGCTCCCTTGATTCAAACCACTGACCTTTTGGTTAGCAAGTTTTGCAGCTCAGCGGTTTAACCCACTGCACCACTGGGGGCTCTGAGTGTGTGTACCTGGTTTTAGACTGAGTGTGTGTATCTGAGTCTAAAAAACAAGGATGGATTGGGGATTCTGTTAGTGTATTGTCCACTCTGCTGCCTAACCGACTCCCTGGTCGAGCTTGTGGAAGTGGTGTCAAAGGTGTTGGAGTTGTCCAGGCTTTTTCTTCTGGGTGACTTAACATACCATTGGAGGTGGGTTTTCAGATGCAGCTCAGGAGTCCATGGTATCCATAACAAACATGGGCCTATTCAAATTGATTTCTGGACCTATGCACTTAGCAGATCATACTTTTTATACAGTTTTCAGCTTGGAACATACCAATTTGTGGGTGGAGGTGACTAACCACCAAGTTGTCAAAGACAAATCATTTTCTGGACACCACAGCTACAACCTACCACTGGAGCGGTGGTCACCTCAACTACAACTTACCACTGCAAGAGTGGAGGACCTATTAAAATGGATGCACTCTTTTTTTTTTCCTTTTGCAAAATAGGCTACTGGAAAGTCATTTTTACATAGCCTTATCCATTAGGACTCACTTGACATTATTTACATGTAGACTTAAGTGAATCTGATTCCCTACCAGCATGTTTTTGATTTTGTTTTTGCTTTAAAGGCTTTACTTAATTTTTTATTTGGGGTGGGGGGGTGGGATTTAGCAACAGTGAAAACTGGGACTAGGGAGTGTGTCTGTCACTTGCTATTTAGCTCTGTTTGTGATTGCATCACTCAATCATGAAATCACTGCTAAGTAGGTCAGTGAACGGTGCCCGAAGAGCATTTGTGCCACTGGAGGTCAATAACTGCATTGGTTTTTCAACCTTCAATGGAACAACTGCTGCTTTAATGGAAGAGACCAAACAGGTTGCATATCTGTACTTAGTTCTTCCTATTCTTGCAGGGGTTCTGTACCCCTAACCCCCACAAACTAGGGGCCCTTCCAGACAGGCCCTATATCCCAGGATCTGGTCCCAGGTTTTCTTTTTATCCCAGATTATCTGCAGTGCGGACTCGTATAATCTATTTTAAAGCAGAAATAGATCTGAGATTAGGTCCTGGGATCTAGGGACTGTCTGGAAGGGCCCTAGGCCTATTGTGTTGCATAGGCCTTTTCTCTGCAATAACTTTTCTGTGTAGTGGGAGGTAGGCAAGTTTTTGAGTCTACATCCATGGGGTTGAACTATGGAGATGATGTTTCTTTGCCAGCAGGTTGTTGTTCTCTCTCCTTGGAAGGAAAAGGACTGCAACTATAAGAAATCTAACCAGAGTAATGAGGGTTCTCTGATTGGGAACCATGGTCCAGAGCTTGCATTCTACTGGAGGACTGTCAAGTTTTACCTGGTGTGGTGTATTTTGCCTCCACACCTCACATGTCTAGAGGCTGAGTCTCCCCCGTGGCCATTTGTTCTTCAAGAGAGGTAGCCAGTAGAAAATTGTGTTCCTGCCATACTAAAGTTCGAGAGAACTTCTGAGAGGTTCAAAAAGATCCCCATCTTCTCTCTTCCTTCATATTTCTGTCTAGCCTGCAGGCAAGCAACCAGCTTGAGGAAGCAATCATAGTAGATGCAAGTGCTCCATCCATCATGACCAAAAAACTATATATACAGGCACAACTTGAGATTATTCTGAATATGACACTAATAGGATATTAGCCCAGTTAGGTTAGGGTAACAAAGGGCACCGTGTGGAATTTTGGACTTCATCCTTCACCATTGGCTCTGCTTCCTAGGGAATTGCAGACCAATATCTGAGGGCTGCATTTTGTAGTCCAAAAATAGCATTTCTAGACTGATGTCATCTTGGTGAAGATTTGCATGCACTGTCTCGCCCTCATTTTTCTCAAAGTTGTGGCAGTGTCATGAGATGGTTCGTGCTGGTGCATTCAGCTCAGTTAGGGTGCAGTCTGATGCAGGCTCACATGCCAGTTGTATACATGTTCAGGACACTGTGTTAAATCCAGTCAGCGACAACTCAGTACAGTGCTCTGTTTTCACACTTTCAGGCTGGCACATCACTTCCTTGATCACTCCACACTTTTTAAATGGCAGAAGTCTATGGAAAGATAATTTCTTTTCTAGCACTTATGGAATAAAAAGCTGGCTTGCACTAGGCTTTGCCAGTCTACTGGTCAAGATGGCCCTGGGTGAACTCACTCCATAACTTGCCTCCTCTCTCTGGGCCCCATTCACACAATAGATGAACCAAAGAGAGGGAGCGAGAAAAGGGGAGGAAATCAGATGATGCTATTCCTTAGTCTCTCCCTTGTCACCAGACAGAAAAAAAAGGTAGCAACAGCAAGCATTGGCAGTCATCGCCATTACTTTGCACGACAATGTTCATCCCAGTTCCTGGCTCATCTCAGTATAGGCTATGACTATGCAGCTTGAATAGGTTTAGGGGCACCATCTGTATTGTTTGGGCAAAAAATAGAGAACCAGAACAAGTAAAATGCTTTGTGACAGCTATGAAACAAATAGGTCACGAGAGTTTGGGAAAGTAGAGCCTTTCATATTCACAAGACTATCTCTGGAGAGAAGAAAACTGACCTGAGGCCTCATCACACTAGAGAAAAAAATCCACTTAAAATCTGGTTTTTGCCTCCTGCAGAATTCGGGGGTTTGTAGTTTAGGGAGGAATCTTTAACAGCCTCATTAAACTACAAACCCCAAAATTCTGCAGGAGGCAGAAACCGGATTTTAAGTGGATTTTTTCTCTAGTGTGATGAAGTTTCATGAGAATATTTGTCTAGCATCTGTTTTCTTCTGTTGCTGTTTTGTTTGTGTCCCAATGACAAGCATAAAACACCTTTGAAAGAGGAAAGCAGTCTTTGGCCCTCCAGAAATTTCAAATTACAACCCTAACTATCTCTTGCCATTTGTCTACGATGGGAATTGTATGCCAAAACACCAGGAGGGCCTAAAGATGCCCCACTCTTGACATGACAGTAGATTATTGTCGCATAAAGAACATCAAACAGCTATGCCCAGTGTTTCCGTTCCATAGGAGACCTAGCACATGCCAAGCCCAAGCATCTTTTCAAAGCTTTGTGAAGACATCCTTATTTAAGTGAGGCTTTTGGCTCAGCTTTAGAAAGATGTGGCTGGAAAAATTTCAATGAATAAATTTGACATGGAAATCTTGCTGGGAACTTCTTTTCTGTTATGCAGGCTAAAAATCCAAATAACAATTAGCGTCTTTTCTAAACAGAAGATTGCTGCTGTTCCAGAGCTGTTTTCCTACTTCAGATATTGCAGTGCGTTTCTCTCTCTCTCTCTCTCTCTCACTCACTCACGCACTCTCTCTCTCTCACACACACACTATATATACAGGTATATCTGCAATAATATACATACTGTCCATAAACAAAATTTATTTAGTGGTCATGTTTCAGTGTACAGGTATTCATCATTGGTCAGCTGTGCCATAAGAAATACTTTTAAGAAATGCACAATATATCACCAAAAAGCTTGAAATTCAACTTGGGTTGCATATTAGGTTGCAAGGAGGAAATCCTTTACAAATGGTGATTTCCCCCTTTACAATAAAATTTCAAAATATAAAATGATACAACATAAACATATATATTTAAAAAATTCACAGTGGACTATTTACAGTAAAAACACATTGGAACAGAAACCTATTTGAGCTATGTGTGTCCTTGTCTAAAGTCAATACTTGCATTGTATATTTCTTCTAGGCTCTCCTTGCCAAAGCTGAGAATAAAATACATTTGGTTTGTGTTTTCCTATGTCTGCTTTCCTACTAATTCCAATACATATTTTTCTATCTACTGAGACACTGCATACTTTACAATCTGAAGTTATTTTTGTTTCAGTTTTTAGTCCAACATCAAATATTCCATGTTGAACAGCAGACTATGGCCCACAGCACATACACTCTCATTTTAGCAGTCTCCTCTCTCCTGTCGTTAAACATGGAATCTGTGCTCATGAATCAAATGAGAAAAGAACTAAGCAGTGTTGACCTGGTTTACTTATTATAAATATGATTTTGTCCCACCTTTTTTGACTCATTGCTACCTTTGTTATTAATCCGTTTTTTGCGTATTTTGGAAGGAAGGCTGTTTAAAGAGATAAACCATTTGCTTCTGACAGTGCAAAACAAATCATATATGTGTATTATTCAGAAATGAGATATACAGGATAGTGTTTGTATTTTTTAATTCTAAAGACATGTTCTAACAACTAGGATTGGAAACCCGCCACTACTAGCATAGTCAACTGTTTAACAGGCCTCTTTAGCTGTGCCTTTAGCAGCAAACTGAAATGTAGACACTAAAAGAAAAGTGCTCCAGATGTTACTGGACTTCAACTTCCAGCATTTCTCACTACTGGCTGTGCTAGTTAGGGCTGTTGGGAGTTGAAAGTCTAAGAACATCAGGATGGCAGGACTTTCTTTTTCCTGAATTAGAAGAGGCTCATAACTATCCCTGTGCTTTGAAAAGCTTCAGCTGCAGATTTTTCACACCTGGCAAATGTTCAAGGCAAAAGAGAAGACCAGGCCAGGCTTACTTTATTGGTTTATGATCAATGAATAAACCTGCCTGCAATTTTTGGCTGTGGTTCAACACCTGTGGCCAGCTAATGCCTGATTTTGGGCTAAATCTAACGTGAGTAGACCTCAGTTTGCCCAATGGGATTTCACCTTCTTCCTTCTTGCAGTCTCTGGGACCCCTTTCTGACTCCCAATTTTCCTCTACAATGTTTCATCCATTCTCCAGAGCACATTAAGCTGCCTGCAGTGAGGAGGAGGAGGAATGTAATCACTATACTGGCCATACTGCAGAGTTGTATTCAGCTATGTCATAATTACATAGTTGAATACAACTCTGTAATATGGTCAGTACAGTGGTCATGCAACATGAGATTCTCATACCTTTACTAAATCTGTAAGGAAAGTATTTCATCTCAACTGCCTAACCTGTAAGTTTTTCAGTGATCAAGGTTGGCCCATCCCTTCATACTACCAAAATGTTACCACTGTGTATCAGGAGGGCACTAGTGGCAACCCTAACCCTGAATTTATGGAGAAGAGCTAGAGGTGCCATCTTCCTCTCATTCTGGTGCTCTAGCGGACCAGGATGATTTAAGGATTGCCAGCAGGGCTCCTGGTCTTTTAATAGTTGCCTGAGTTTTAAAACTGTTTCTCAACTCTGCTGCTCCGGATGTTTTGGACTTCAGCTCCCACAATTCCTAACAGCTGGAAAACTGGCTGGGATATCTAGGAGTTGAAGTCCAAAACACCTGGAGGAAGAGACTTTGAGAAACACTGATTTAAAGTAAGGAGGCAATGCGATAAATAGGGCAGAACAAATTGTAACCTGGAAATCCCCTTATATGAAAATCTTTGCTTAGTAGGCAGCCATAGTTTTTCCCACTAGTACAAAAACTGGTTCTTTTGTTACCACCTGCACACTCCTCTTCTGCTATTTCCAAAAGGCAAGGGAAGGGAGAGGGCGAAAGTAATTGGGAAAATAGGCACCAAAGAGTGCAGTTTCCACTCCTCCCAGTTCAGTCACAGATTTCAAGGCAAAGGAGGACACTCCAGTTTGCATCCTGGCAAGTCTAGTCTGCAGAGATGCACAGCCTGTGTGGCCAGATTCCTTGGTGCACATTGGAAGCTAAGGCACCTGCCCTTTCTAGGGGCCTTTTGAGTTTTTAGTTCCACATTTTCACTGTGGAGTGTAAGAAGCTGTTGTGCAGATCAGCCCATAGAAAAAGAGGTGCCAGTGCACTCTTGTTGTAAAATTATTTACATGTTTACAAAGGAACTCACAAGACTCCTGCTACTTTACATGGAATTGGAAGTGAACAGAAATGAGAAGCCTATGCCCTTTAGATGTTGTTAAACTTTATTACTGACCATGATGACTGGGGCTGAGGGAGGTTGCAGTCTAACAACATCAAAGGGACACAAGTTCTTGTCCCAGGACTATACTGTATAGGAGTCTGCAGATGTCACTGTCTACCTTTTTCTTGCAATTAGATTGTGTGTATTTATCCATTTCCATAGGCAGTGCTACACAGTCAGGACTAGAGAAATATCTAGTCCAATGTTATCACATTACATGCTGTATTGGAAAATGCATACTGAGAAAATGAGGACAAAGAGCCCTCTCTGGTATTGTCTAGCTCTACCTATTGGAGAGCTGTTTGGCAACTTGCATGTGATCATGTGTGAAAAATGAACCAGTACTGTACTTTAAAAGGTAAGAAATGGAACCTTGAGTTCAATCCAGAGCTTGGCAATGTCATTTTTGGGAAAACTCAAGCCCTAGAAGTGTCCAGCCATGGCCGTTAGTCATGCTCTGGGGGTCTGCAAACTAGTCCAAAAAGTAACTTTTCCAAGCTCTGGATCAAGAATGTGATTACAGGCCTCCCAAACGTGCCATGACAATTTTTTTTTTTAAAAAAAAAAACCAGGCTGTGTTACACCTGATCTGTTTGGTACTCAGATGCTTCAGAGAGACTTTCAGAAAAGCTAAGGAAGTTTTCTTGGTATTCGGAACAGATGATCTCAAACCGGTAGTGCCTGAACTCCACAGCAAATGAACCAAAGTAGCAGAGGAAGCACATCACCATTCCCCACTGTATCTGTGCTGCATGCATGTGAAACTTCTGCGCCATCAAGATGAAATCTGAAGAAGGGTCAAGGAAAAAAAAATCTGAAGATGGTCCAAGCACATAAACAAAATAATGGGAGTAGTTATGGATGAAATATCATTCTACTCAGAGCTGTGCAAACTTAATACGGGGAGAGAATAACCCCTTCTACATATGAAATCAAGTTTGTGCATCATGAAAAATGGACTTTTGTGAAATATTTAACTGTTTGCTTTATATAATTTATTTTGGGTGGATGGTTTTTCTTCTGCTTGTTTTGGCAGATGGGGTCACCCTATCTTAGAGCATGATTTTTGCAGAGCCTCTTAAGACCCAAATTATATATCTGAATGGCAAACCAGATCAGACTTTTGGAATATAATTTTTAGCAATTGAAATGCCTGGATCTATACAGCTGTTTCTTGCATCAACACAGTAGGAAGCTGCTTTCTCCTTCCCTCTCTCATGTACTCCCTTTTTGAGATTCAAAACTCGTATGTCCCTTTGTTGGTGAAAATTATTAATTATCCCACCAAACTTATCAAGCAGTAGTTCACTGAACATTTCCATGCTTGTGTAAGGACATCTCAAATGACGCTTTTTACCAGACTGAACTTGCTCCTGCAGTTTTATGAGAACCTCACCTCTTTTCAGGTACATATCTTTTGAAAAGAGCATTAGCTAGAAGAAAAGTACAGTGCATCTGGCAATTTTCCAATGTTATGTAAGCAAAACGAGGACGTAAGATATACAGAAACACATTAATTACATACGTGAGGAGGAGGGTGTTGACACCAGTTTAGTATGAAAATGAGGCCAAATAACTACTGTAACTTTTGCTCAAAAGCGTCTTGCTCAGCACCAAAACCAGCATTGTATGCATGTGCTCCAGGTCTTTCACCTTATGCCACAGAGGCATACTGTGGTTTCACTCAAACAGTTGGTATTCTTGAAATACCAATATCATGTTGCAATGGCTCCACTTTTCAAATTGGAAATCTGTATTTGTATGGAATACAATGTGCAGAATTAAAGGATACAAAGGACTACACAGAGGGTAATTGCTGCAGATAGGACAACTCGTGGGATCCCAGCTTTTCTCCCTTCGTTCTTCAAGTTTATTTTGAGTGTTAGTGCTGACTGAATCCAGCAGGCCAAGGTGCCAAAACCAAAAGTTAAGGATGTCCCAACATTATGTATCTCTTCATCATTGGTAAGCTGAAATAGAAAACAGAATCGGCATTTTTTCTTGATACAAGTAATGGGGGAAAAAAACCACTTGCCTGAAACTTCTTAATTCTGATTTATGTTGTTCTGTTCAGAATCCAAACTGATGTCTGGGAATGAAGTTGATGCCAGATTTTGTACATGGGGGGAAATCTGGAGGACTTTTCCCTTCATCTTCTCAAAAATGGTTTCCTTATCTCAGCACTTGGAAATATAATTGGAAGGGGTTATAGTTCTTAAAATACCCCAACGAGCAAAACCGCTAGTTGGAGGATTCTGGAAGTGAAAATACAAAAATATAACTTTTCCTTCTCTACTCTCCCAAAAGGTCTATTACTCCTTTTCCTGAGATAGATTAAAAGAGACTGCTAAGGCACTTTTGCCCTCTTACAATCTCCTGCAGGGCAGTGAGCACTAATAATAGACTACAAGTCTGACAAATCTGATGGGCCTCCAGTTGCTCACTCTTACACTAATCCACCAAGAATAAGTCTAGATAAAAATGATCTTCCTGCCACAATCACTAGATTAAGGATTTATATGCATGGAGAGTACTCAAAGTCCTGTATATTCCAGCACAAATCCACTGCTTTCTTGTAAATGTTTATATTCTGTCTCATAGATTCATATTCCTTTTAAAGGAAACATCACTATCCTGCTAAAATAATAATCAAAATAATATTTTCAGCTGCCTAGAGCAGTGGTTCTCAACCTGTGGGTTCCCAGGTGTTTTGGCCTACAACTCCCAGAAATCCCAGTCAGTTTACCAGCTGTTAGGATTTCTGGGAGTCGGAGGCCAAAACATCTGGGGATCCACAGGTTGAGAACCACTGGCCTAGAGCACCAATCCTCTGATGTTCAATAGTATCCAGGCTGGGTTATGGCACTAGGTTCATCACATTTTGGCCCATACAAGTGCTGATTTTGTTTATTCTGTATGTGAACAAACTTAACTACAACCCAGAGACTCATTTTTCTAAGTTTCTCTACAAAAGAATACAGAAATATTCAGGAAGGTGACTTCGCAGCACTAATGTCAAGATAAGATGGGGACACTTAGCTTGCTGACACATCTTGTCTGGGCAAGATTCCATTGATTTCATCTAGCCCAGCAGAGTATTCCAGTATCAAATGGTCCTGAAAAGCTTCACACAAAGCACTATGAGAACTCGGGCTTTTGGATCAACAAAAGATTCTGGAATCAAACCCAGCAGATGCCAATGACCCGACTGTATGCAGAACCTTGACCTTATTGGAGAAAACCAAGATATAAATGTAATTAAGAAATACACTATGTTTATATCCCCTTCCTTGACAGTCCAATTTCCAAAAGTTCAACATTTCAAACAGAAGTGGGCAATTGTAGCCCATATGGTTCAAAATCCCATAACAATTGCTTGTGCTAACTGATGTTACTAGGAGCTTAAAACCAAAATTATCTGGACTGCTATAATTATCTGGAGCTTAAAGCAAAAATTATGTGGATTTCTATAATTAGAGATAGCTAGAACAAGGGTTCTGACCATGGCAGCCAACTAAGAGAAGTATTCTTAGTCTTCCAGGCATGTTTCTAGCCAACCAGCATCTGCCATACAACCACAGAGAATGACCAAGGACTCCTTTGGTTATATTGTGGAAAACTAAATGTGCTAAACTTCAGTTGTCACTAAAATTCCAACTAAGTAAAACAAGTTCTATTTGACTCTACTCAAATCCCTTTGGCATTCCTGCCAAACAGTCTTGCTGCCCTGTTCACGACTCATTTCCCCATTTTCTTGATTCTGATCTTGAATGCAGCTAGCTTGAATTAGTTGCATTCCCCACTTGAACAGTAGCTCGGTCAGAACTATTTATGGGGACAATGCTTCCAATGCCTATATAAAGTGAAACCTGCTCAGTAGTTTCTCACAGCAAATACAATTTTCATCTGTAGCACAAGATTATAAAACCTACTGCATCATCTCTCAAGATACTTTGAAATGGCTTCCAAAAATCAGCAGATGTTTGAAGGTACAAAGCAAGCACAACTCACTGAGCAACAGACATTATATAAATCTGGTTGCCTAAAGCACAAGGTTGGCTATAATGTTAGGTATAATGGAGCAGGCACTTCAGACCTCATATTTTGTATATCATAAAAGAGCAGGCTTTTAAAAGCTATTTAATTTGTCATCAATCTACTTTTACTGCTAAGGATGGACAGAAGTGTTTGATGAATTTCTTGCCACTGTGCCCAAACAACCTTGTTAGGTTTGGATGTTAGGCTCCCTTGCTTGTTTTAGGGCAGCCATGCTGAAATAACCAATTTGCCCTCTTGTGGTCAGATGAAGATAGGCAGGGATCATTTCAAGTCGTTGGAGGAATACATTCCAGGTTTTAGGTTAATTGTACATGTATTAGAATGATCACTGAAAGTTACACACAATGGACAACAGTGGTGTAATAGCAGCTCAGAAACTAGATCAAGAGTAGACTTTAAAGTAGGATGTGAGAGGAAGAGGGAATAGATGTTCAAGATTTATAATGACAGGTTCAGTATCTCTTGCCAGTATTTTCATATATCTGAATAATGAAATTTCTTGGAAAAGTGACCCAAGTCTAAACAGTAAATTTATTTGTGTTTCTATACATTTTACATATAGCCAGAAGGTAATTTTGTACAATATTAAAAATAATTTTGAGAATGAAACAAAATTTGCGCACTTTGAACCAAAGGTATCATTTTCTCAGCCACCCATGTGGACAATTTTGGAAGTATTTCAGGTTTTGGAATTACATGTAAAAGGTACTCAATCTGTATTACTATCAAATTAGAGCATTGCTGACTAATAGGAAGATAATGGCTCAATTCAGACATAATGGCAACCCTGAATTGTTTGTCTATTGTTACAAGAGAGGATTATGAGACTCTTTTTCATGACAAAAACAAGTAGCTACCCTTGTGATCATATATTCCCTCCTCTTTTTCCTCTTCCTTTGTTCCAAAGGAAGTATTTATAAGCTCAGATGAAAGCTGAAAACACTGCCTTGCTTGTTTTATTCCCCTCTGACTGCATGAATGCCTAAGAAAAGCATTACTTTCAAATGTATTTAAAAAACAAACATAGAGAGCAGACACCTTGTGCCTTATATGTTGTTGGACTTCCAGATCCCAGAAATCCTACCCAGTATACCTAATAGTGAATAATGTGGGGTACAATCCAAACCCAGAGGGCTGCATGACATCCATCCCAAACTTAAATCCTTAAATCTCCTCAAATTAGCAACAATTGAAGTTGCTCAAGAAGCAACTGCATTTTTGCTAAATCAGCTTTTGGGTTGGACAAGGATTTCATAAATTCTCATGCTTTAGTTTGCATACCAATACACATTTTGATTAGTAAACGATTTTTTAAAAAGTGTTAGCCTTTTGTTACAGCTCTTGGCCGAAGAAGTATTCTGCACATAAAAGCAGTAACTGCAACATGTGATTTCACTTCATTTCCATACTATATTTAACATTATCACAGGAAGGTGACTTTAATTTATTGATAAAGACATATATTTATATATATCAGATGAAATACTTTTTTCCATGTCAGGAGTGACTTGAGAAACTGCAAGTCACTTCTGGTGTGAGAGAACTGGCCATCTGCAAGGATGTTGCCCAGGGGACACCCAAATGTTTTGATGTTTTACCATCCTTCTGGAAGGCTTCTCTCATGTCTCCACATGGGGAGCTGGAGCTGACAGAGGGAGCTCATCTGTGCTCTCCCCAAATTCGAACCTGCGACCTGTCTGTCTTCAGTCCTGCCGGCACAAGGGTTTAACCCATTGCACCTCAGGGAAGAAATTCTGGTGGGGCAAAACACAGGCTTTGCACACAGAACACTTCTGTCTCAATCCCTTATATCTCTACTCAAACCAATCCATAGCAGATGATGGCAGAAGTCCCCTGATTGAGACCCTGAAGAGCAAATTCCACTGTAACATATTAGGGATGGGGAACAGCCTTCCTATCAGACAGATGCAGCCAGCAATCATTCCCCATGCATCCTACACACCTCTTCTATAACCTCTGATTGATGATCAGAGACAAAAGGGTATTTAAAGGTCATACAGCTGCTGCATTGGTCAATTCTGCTTTTTGTGACTCAGAAAGCTGTTAAATAGAATTGACCAATACTTTTCAGTTAAGAAGAAGGCATACAGATCTGTGTTCTGCGTGTCCAAGAGCTGCTGTATGTGATTTTAATCTGAGCAGACACCATAGATACGAATGATACTGTGTGCACTTGGTGAGGGAAAATGTCTAAGTAGGTAACAATGAAATCTGGATGCACTTGGTTGCTTCAGCACCCTTATATGGCTTGAGCCCCACTAATTGCTAGGGTTTTCCCTTTCTCAACACATGCCTCAATCAGAATTTAGGCCTTTACAGAACATATATGGATTCAGTGGTCAGATGCAAAACAAGACAATCTACCTGTAGATCATAGGTGTTCTGTGCAGGACATCCACATTAATTAGGAAAGGAGGGGGAAAGAACCAGATACCTGGAAGTTGCCCAGTAAAGTCATTCCGAAGGAGGCCAAGCATAACGCTACCAGGCCGCTCACATTGAGCCATGGATTCAGGACTTTTGGCTTCAGTTGAATAAAACGGAGGACAGCCACAACAAGTGCTGAAAGAAGGAAAGAGAAGGTGGGAGGTACATAACAATATAACAACAATTTGATATCTGAATTGAAGTCTAATGACAGGTTTGACAAAACAGCTACTGCTGCCAGATAAGAATCAGCAGAATTTGAATAGTCCCAGAATTTCTTCATGTGTTTACCTCTTTTCTCCTTGCTAAGCTGCTGGGACACTAGTAGTTTAGATAAAGAGGGCCCCTTTATTCATAATGGAAATAGCATACAGGAGAATATGTGTCCATACTTGTTCCCTGTGGTAAGGTAATGTGGCTTCTTTTTTTATCAGCCTAAGGCATCATCACTTGGAACATTTAAGATTAACAGCACTTCACTCCCATCAAAACTGTATAATTTTTTTCAGCCGGCTACAGAAATAGTCCTGTGCTAGTACTTGTCTCAACGGAATAAGCACATTAAGAAAGCTATGTCTCAGACAATGTGAACCACTGCACAAAAAAAGGGAATTTTGACAAGTCCAACTGAGAAACTTGCAAAATGGATCTCCTTGGTAATTGGTTACCCTAAATTCAAAACACCATAAGCATACAGATTAATTTACTGCACAAGATAAGATTCAAACAAAAGTGAGAGAAGTGATAAGCCCATTATTCCATTGCCATTTGTCATAGCCTTCTTACAAGCCCTCTAAATCCTCCACACAAGGAAGGCAAAATATTTGCAGCATGAAGTCTTGGTCAGCAATTTGTTGGTGAAATATGCATGTTTAACTGGGGCTTATACTTGAGCACATACTCTTTTGACTTCATGGCCGGAGGTATATAGTGCTTCCTCCTACAAGGATCCCACACCAATGTTGTTGTTGTTTTTTGTTGTTTATGTTTTGATTTTATTGCTGTAATATGTTGTCCGGGCTTGGCCCCATGTAAGCCACTCCGAGTCCCCATTGGGGAGATGGTGGCGGGGTATAAAGGTAAAGGTAAAGGTAGTCCCCTGACATTAAGTCCAGTCATGTCTGACTCTGGGGTGTGGTGCTCATCTCCATTTCTAAGCCGAAGAGCCAGCGTTGTCTGTAGACATCTCCAAGGGCCCCAGTGGCAGGGTATAAATAAAGTTTATTATAATATTATTATTATAACAGCTAGGCTCACTTTCATTTTGTCAAATGATTAGCTGAAACAGAGAGCCAGGCTCATTCTGACTGTTCCTGGACATGGAGGGAGGATGAGCTACAGTCATCAGCATCTCAACTTCTGAGCACCATGGGAAGCAGCTGAGCAGAGGGAGGAGACTTCATTCCCTCCCACGCTGGTAGCAAGTGTGGGGAGGGCATGATGTAAGGTCTTGGTCTTTCTGTATATAAGGTCATGGTCTTTCTCTGCATGTGAGCGCTCTTTGTGGAATCCAGAAATGGGTTATTCTGAGCTGCTAAATTTGAAAGAGGCTATGGAAGATCTTGGTTGCAGAAGTTCATCATGGAGGCCTGTGAGGATGATGTTGAAGATATGATGGAGGGCTGGGGCCAACAGGCTCCTCCTTGCTCTGCTCCAAGATTGATTCTAACCATGACTTAATACATACAGAGCCCAAAAGCATAGAATTAAAATAAAATAAAATATGGGGGTCTACATTTCAATGTGGGCAGAGCCAAAAGCAAATGGTTGAAAGCAACTGTTTGTCTGTCCTGACACGTTTTCACTTAAAGCTCCAAACAAAGGCTTAGAGGTGCACTTCAACCTTTTAGAATATTGCTGGTGAGGAGGACAAAAGTAAAGGCACTACTCAAGTATTCAGTCATGGAGAAAGACACAGAAATCAAAGAAATCAAAGAAAAAGCACTCTCTTGACATATACAGAAGACTCCAAGCTAGGATGGTAGCTGTTGAAGACTCATCTTTATCATTCATAATGTTATCAAAACCAAGCTGGGTGCGCATCTGTTACAAAATTGCACAATGTTTTGGGATCAGAGAGCGGCATCCAGTATCAGCAAGAGTTTGTTCATGCACATGCACTCATGCACACAAATACACACAACATAATTGGGGAGAGAGGCTTGAATCTCAGCCCTAGCAAGCATACATAAGATAACTGAATTGGAAATTCTGCTTCAGGGTCATTGTGGGAGGAAGACCAAAGGTTCCTCCTCTTCTTTCCTCCTAGCTTCAGTATGAATGTTGCTTCTCAGTATTTTAAAAATGTTATAGTTACTTTTGGGTTTTTTAAAAAAATGAAGCTACTGTTTTAAAATCTTTTAAAACTTTTTTTCTTTTAAAGGTGCTTTTTAGAGAAGCAGCTACATTTTAATAGGGTTTCCTGTAAAATGGGAACTATGCAAACTGTGAAACAATGCAAAACTCAGATTACAGTTTAAGTAATGAAATGAATAAATGACATAGATAGTGTTATGCAAAAATTAAATAGCTTTATGCATGCAACAACATGTTTAGAAATTGCCTCCAATTGGAAAGAAGTTAGCAATTATCTTTGAACAGATGGAGAGGCAGAGTACTTTTTAAATTTTACTCTAATTCAAAAACTGACAGCTCAGTCTAGAGTTTTGAACGGCATACAGATGACATAATTTTTTTAGCGTCTTGTCTCCATTTACTGAATATATCAATAACTGCTCTGTAACAAATTGTCACTCAAAGTTACATGAAAGGCTTTGGAATGACGCACTCTCCTCTTTTTCATTCAGTTGAAAGATTATGTAATTTCTTCTTTTAATTTTCCATTTCATCTAGATGCATTGACTGTTTTTTTATTATTATTCCGCTGGATTTTTAATGTATTGTTTGTATATTACCATAAACATTTATTAATTACCTAGAACCTATACTCATAGATAATGGTAAAGGTTTCCCCTAATATTAAGTCTAATTGTATCTGAATATTGGGGATGGTGCTCATCTCCATTTCTAAGCTGAAGAGCCAGCATTCTCAGTAGACACCTCCAAGGTCATGTGGCCAGTATGACTGCTTGGAGTGCCGTTACCTTCCCGCAGAAGCGGTATCTATTGATCTACTCACATTTCATGTTTTTGAACTGCTAGGTTGGCAGAAGCTGGGCCTAACAATGGGAGCTCACCCTGCTCCCCAGATTTGAACTGCCAACCTTATGGTCAGCAAGTTCAGCAGCTCAGCGTTTTAACCCGCTGTGCTATAAGTGGACACAACTTGCAATTCACCTCATAAAAGTTACTATCCCCACTCAACACCCTCCCCCCACCCCAAACGGTAGCCAGCCTACCTAGCAATCCCAATATTAGTAAACTGTGGAAAACATGTTTTTTCAACTCCAGGAGTTTGCATGAATGGGGTTGGACTGTCATTTTTGAATTGTCCTGACCTTGTGTTTGCTGCACACATACCATTTCCCAAGAAATATCAGAGGTGATATTTTAATTACTTGACTTCCAGTTACTGTTTTCCACAGATTTGTGCTTCTATTGAAGACAACATTTTTAGACATGGGTCGTATGGTTTCTACATGATTAGCTTTCTTTACAAGATTAATGAAATTAATGTTCCAAGCTGATTCCTCAGTCTGAGTACCTTGCCTACTAGATAATATGTTTTAAAAGTCTAAATTGCTGTATCCTAAAAAGAACTACTAGCAAACCCATGCCATCTATGTGTGGCTTTTGGATTTTTATCTTCATTTTCTGGAATACAAGGGCCAACCTGAATGGATCATTGTATTTATCTCTACACAGGATGGATTCTAAATACCTTGCCAGGCACTTCTTATACCCTTAGGGAGCAGTTGCATAATCTATATGATTTAGGCCCCTTCTACACTACCATAAAATCTAGATGATCAAAACAGATAATTCACATTATCTGCTTTAAACAGGATTATGAATCTACACTACCCTATAATCCAGTACAAAGCAGATAATCTGGATTTTATATGGAAATGTAGAAGGGGCTAAAGTTTAACTCACACTTCCTCAAACCAGCACTCCCCCAGTTAAGTAGGTTTACAACTCCCTAACACCACATGTTAGCTGTGGATGGTAGGGATTGTTGTCCAAAATATCTCAAAGGCTGACAAGGTAGAGAGCGATATATTAATTTGTAAGATACCTTTATAGGCATTCTTACTTTTAAAATTATAAGAACATACATGGGTTATGGAATTACTCATAATAGTTATAGTTAGTCCATACAAGACAGAAGACAGTCTATCCCTGACAAAAAAAGCAGTTCTTATATAGCACAGAAGATATTTACCAGAGTTGGGATAGTAACTTTTTAAAAGTAGTCCATTTCCATGACTTGTAGAAAAGTAATTTGTTGTTGTTCCCTATTTCAATTATTACAAAGTAACTTGGTTTGCTGCTTTTTTACATGTCGTTTATTTTTTCTTACTCAAAAACCCATTAAGACTTGCTACATTACTTCCAAAATGTAGCCTCTTGTTACCAAGCGATCTGAATCCTTACATCTCTAGCATTTAAAAGGTGATTGATCTGACCTCTGTGGCCCAGTTCCTATCCAAAGTATAGGAATAGCAATCTGGACAAGGATTGTAAATGAATCACATATAAATTACATATATATGTACAATCATCAATATGTGCATAATCTTGTTTGTGTGATTTTCAAGCACATGCATGTTTTTCAAGTAGTAGAAAAGGAGAAATCAAAATAACAGCCAAGATGAGGTGATTTTTTTTTAAAAAAGTGAACATTAAAAAAACATAAGAGGTTGACATGTTTCAATATCTGGTATCTTACATATTTTCACATTTTACTGGCTTGGTTCTCATTACAGTAGTAAATCTGTCAGAGTGAGCTCTAGGCTTGCAGAGAATGCTATCAAAGCATTAGCTGTCCCCCATTCCAACATTATTGCTGTCTCTGGACATTGTGCCCCCAAGCAGGTTTACATGCTACGGTGAGCAGCAGGGGAGGTATAATCTCAGTTATTCACAATGCTTATATTTGTTCCTCCAGAGCGTTGTAGAAAAATTAAAATCATATGAAAACCCGTACTTGCATTCGGCAAGCAGACATGCCCATATTCAAAGATGAAAGATGCTGATTTGAAGTCTAAATGCTGGTTTTACACGGAAAAGTATACACTATACAAGTACAGTTTTGCATGAAAAATCTTTTGGATTTAAAACTAATAAGGCCAGCAAACAAAAAACTGGTATATCAGAGTAAAGGTTTGGTATGGCGAAGTCAGGCACTTGAATTCCCATATTCAGTTTCAAGTTGAACAGCCCAAACTAAAGTTTACAACCTTAGTGAGAACCAAACCATGGTCGCTGCATTATTCATTGGATCCCGAGAGTCAGACCTTTACAATATTTACTGATCTGAATCTGGTGATTCAAAATGTGAATTTCAAAAGACAAAAAGAAGCCAGACATTCTTCATGCAACGCCTACCTAGAAATGCTGCCATGTTCATGACTTGGCTAAACACACAGCTTGCAGGAGGGGCATCACCTGCAACACTTCAAAAATATAACGCGTATCATTGTAACTCTACTAAGCCTGCAACAAAGACAAATAAATCAATAACAAAGTCCATTGGTAAGAATGGGCCTTTTGAAAAGAAAAAGAAAGAAAATAGAAAGTGATCTTATTACCTTATATATGGTGGTTTTAGGGGACTTGATGGGCTAAGAATGCAAAAAGAAAGCAAAGGAATACAAGTCAGAATAACATTGGCCATTTGATGTTACAGATTTTAACTTAACATATTGATGTTAGGTATATTCAATTTGAAATAAGAAATATGCACTAGAATATAAGTAATTTTTATTATAATAAATACGTACTACAAACACATTTGCTAACAATTACAATCAAATGGAGGGCAAAGGTGAACAAGACATTTATTATGGGCTACAAGAAGGCTCTGGAATGAATTAGATCACTGAGATCCCAGCTAGATCACTTTTTTTGGTCGTGTCAGGAGCATCCTGTTGTGAGAGAATTGGCCATCTGCAAGGACGTTGCCCAGGGACGCCCAGATGATTTTGATGTTTTATCATCCTTGTGGGAGGCTTCTCTCATGTCCCCGCATGAGGAGCTGACAGAGGGAGCTCATCCGCCTCTCCCCAGGCTCGAACCTGCGACCTGTCGGTCTTCAGTCCTGCCGGCACAGGGCTTTAACCCACTGCGCCACCGGGGGATCACTGAGATCCCAGCATAATGTAGTAATCTGAGCGCGAGCGCGCGCGCACACACACGTGTATATATATTCAACAACTTATTGTCACCTTCATAAACTGAATACAGCAAAGCATTTAAATACTGAATAAATATTATATAAATATGAACACATATTCTAAAAATTATTTTACCTGTATGGCACATTTAGTGGAAGAATTTTGCTGTCTTCTACTGCTATAAAATATCTGCCAAAATACAAAGGGAGAACTTTAGATAATATTAACTGAATACTTTTAGGGATGCAAGAGGAAAGGTACAGATGTCAAGATATAAATACTGTTTACTAAAGGGACAAGGAGACACTGCAACTGGGCATCAAACAGGAAGTTGGCCTACAAACACTTAAGATTAAGCAGCCAAATCAGAGTCAGGTTTTAAATTCCAGATTATTGGTGTCTAGCATCTTCTGATTCCCACCCATCTGCAATGGGTCACTATAGATCACGTGTGGACAAACTTTGGCCCTCCAGGTGTTTTGGACTTCATCTCCCACAATTCATAACAGCCAACAAACTGTTAGGAATTGTGGGAGTTGAAGTCCAAAACACCAGAAGGACCAAAGTTTGCCCATGCCTGCCATAGATTAATAGTTTGGTTTTTTTTGCTACTTAAGAATCCTTGATGCCTGTGGATAGTCTTCCCTGTGTTGGCAATAAAAACATATATTATAAATAAATAAATAAATAAATAAATAAATAAATAAATAAATAAGATAGACTTCCCTAACCTGGTGTCTATCACATGTGTTGAGTTTCCATTATTTCTAAGACACCAAGATCTCTCAAATTTGACAGAGATTCTCTTTCAATTTTTTAAAATTAAACATGATTGCAAGCTTTAAGCACACTGATTCAGCATTATTAATTCTAATGGGATTTGTGTTTGCTTAAATTCTTCTGGATGGATGTGTTCAAAGCATTCTGTGCAGTCATCATAACAGAGACATAACTGTGGGAAATGAGAACAAGATGTAAGTTACTTTGGTTCAAGTTGTCAAAAAGACGACATGTCTTTATTCAAGTTTTAGGATCTTTGAATAAGGACTTTCTTGTGGCTCTAACACTATCACAAGACCTAGAAGAGGGTCTTTCCAGTGGCTTCTGCCAAGCTATGCCAAGGGAGGTTTGGTCTCCTGCCTTCATTTTTGCCAAAAAGAAAGGACTTTCTTATTTATATGGGCCTTCGATTTTCCAACTAGTTAGAATACTCCAAATTTTTTTTAAAGTGGATTGTGTTCAATGCTTTCCTAAAGTTTCTATTTCAAATTGTTTTAGCTAGACTGTTTTTATGTATGGTGGAAGCTGCTTTGTGTCCATCTCCCCATATAAAGGGGTGGGGAGGACTGGATACAAATAAAATCCTGAGTTTGGTAAAGCTACTTTACTGATTTATATCATCCATCCTTCAATTCTGCAAGTTGTTGTCCAATAATGTAACTTTTCCAAGCTATGGTAGAAAAATATGAAGTTGTTTTATAATGCCAAACCATGACTCCATCTTGCCCAGTATTGGCTATTCTTGCTGGCAACTACTCACTGCATTATAGCTACAGAGAAAGCAACACTTGAGAAAATTGTAAGCAATGTATTGTTGAAGGCTTTCATGGCCGAATCACTGGGTTGCTGTAAGTTTTCCGGGCTATATGGCCATGTTCCAGAAGCATTCTCTTCTGACATTTCGCCTGCACCTATGGCAGGCATTCTCAGAGGTTGTGAAAAACATTTTAAAGAAGTGTTTTTTGTGCATGTTAATAGGGTTTTAATGGTTTTAACGGTTTAGTTTTTAAAGGTTCAGTGTTTAACCTTATTTTAATATTTGTAATGTTTTAGGTTTAAAATTATATATTATATTTTTTACGTGTTAGCCATTTTGGGTTTCTTTTTTGAATGATAAAGTAGACTAGAAATAGAAGGAGGAGGTTGTTGTTGTTGTTGTTGTTTCAGGGCTCCCCACAGATAACAAATATGTGGATTCTCAAGTCCTATTACATACAATGATGTAGTAAAATGATGTCCCGTGCGTAAAATGGCAAAATCATGGTTTGGTTTTTAGATTTCTAAAAATAGTTTCAAGCTGTGAATGGTGTATCCGTAGATGCAGAATCCATGCATATGGAGAACTGATTGTATATCACTTTTCCTGCAAATAGACATTTTAACAGATATATCTGTCCGATAACAGGAATGGTGTGTTAAAAGAAAAACATTTGAATGAAAAAAAATCAGATTTATATTCCTTTCATGATTTAATCTGGAACTATCAGCTTGAGTTACGCTGTGTAAAAAGCACTGCTCCTTCCTGAAAACATTTCAAAATAAATTTGCAAAGCTCACTTACACAATCCACAGTCCTGCTGAGGTAAACAGTGTCAAGACAAGAGGCAAGAACATCCATACGCTGCATTTCTTCCCATCCATGCCTGCAAGGAAAGAAAAGGAGCAGATAAACATTGCTCTCCAATAAATAAGGTGGTGGCACACTTCATGCAGCTCGCAGATATATTTTGATTCATCCCATTTGGACCCTGTCCTTTCCCCAATACACAGACACTGGAAAAATTACTTTTTCAGGCTGCAACTTTTGAAATAAAGCAAACATGGTCATGGGAATTTTAATTTTTTAACAGAAATTTTCCAAGAACTTCCTGACTGTGAGAGCTGTTCAGCAGTGGAACTCTCGGCCCCGAAGTGTAGTGGAGGCTCCTTCTTTGGAGGCTTTTAAACAGAGGCTTGCTGGCCATCTGTCGAGAATGATCAAGGGTCTAGAGAACAAGCCCTATGAGGAGCGGCTTAGGGAACTGGGCATGTTTAGCCTGAAGAAGAGAAGGCTGAGAGGAGATATGATAGCCATGTACAAATATGTGAGAGCAAGCCACAGGGAGGAGGGAGCAAGCTTGTTTTCTGCTTCCCTGGAGACTAGGACGCGGAACAATGGCTTCAAACTACAAGAGAGGAGATTCCATCTGAACATTAGGAAGAACTTCCTGACTGTGAGAGCCGTTCAGCAGTGGAACTCTCTGCCCCGGAGTGTGGTGGAGGCTCCTTCATTGGAAGCTTTTAAGCAGAGGCTGGATGGCCATTTGTCAGGGGTGATTTGAATGCAATATTCCTGCTTCTTGGCAGGGGGTTGGACTGGATGGCCCATGAGGTCTCTTCCAACTCTTTGATTCTATGATTCTATGAATGCTTTGAATGCAATTTTCCTGTTTCTTGGCAGAGGTTGGACTGGATGGCCCATGAGATCTCTTCCAACTCTATGATTCTATAATCAAGCTGGTGGTGACTGAGGGTGCATGTACAGTGCAGAACAAATGAATTCAGTTTGACACCAGTTTAATTGCCATGGTTCAATGCAATGAAATCGTGGGAGCAGTAGTTTTATGATCTTTTCAGCTTTCTCTGCCAAAGAGTGATGGTGCCTCATCAAACTACCACTCCCATGATTCCATAGCACTGATCCATGACAAAGTGGTGTCAATGTGCATTACTTCTACAGTGTAGATGCACCCTGAATCAAGGGCATCTGTGAGCTTCATGGCTCAGCAGGGATCTGAATTCACATCCAGCCTTTCAATCTATTTGTTAAAACTTACTACCAGATTTGGAAAACATGGCAATCTTTAGCCTTCCCTCCTAAAGAGTTCTAGTGCCTCACCAAACTACAGGTCCCATGATTCCATAGCATTGAACCATGACAGTTAAAGTGAGGACAAACTGCATTAATTCTATAGTGTGGATGCATTCTTAGTTACCGTACATTCCTTCCTTGCTATTCATTATCTGTTTCTTTCTGATCTTCTACAGTTCTCTGCCAGAACATGTTGACATCCTGCAAAGGTAGTGGAGCCAAAGCAAGAGGGAAGTGTGCAAACAAGGTGATTTTCCATTTACTTTTGTATTTGCATGCTTTTGTGCATTGGGATATTTTACAAAGCTTCTAGAGTTTGGGAATTTCGTACTCGATGTCAAGCAAGCAAGGTCATTCTGGGAAACTGCTCTCCCGTGGTTGCTTCCACCCTAGTTCTCAGAGCTTTTGAATTCATTAATAAAGTTAACAGAAGCTGTCACTCAAGAACTAGGAAAGATGCCAGCAGGGACAAAAGTCAACTCCTGTACGCCACTTGCTTCCTCCTAAGAATTCTCTTTCTGCTCGTGCTGGATTTTAGTTTTGCATCATTCAGCAAAGGCAAAATGCCATCCCTCAAAGACTGCAGCACTTTACCTCCTGCTAGGAAGCTTCCTTGTATTTTAAGATATGCGGTGCCTTCTGGTCTTTGCAGTATGACTATTTGTAATGCGAACAAACCCCAAACCAAACTTAACCCCTCACCAATTTATTATTTCGCTTCCAGGAATCCTTAAGTCTTATTCTGTCTAAAGTAATATTTCACATCAGGCATGACTACTGTTCATTTTCCTTTGAGAACTACCAAAAAGGGAAAGAATGAACTAGGCTAAAGGTTGGAAGTAGATTTTATCAAAGTTTTCATATTCCCACTCCTGCATAATATAAATACAAAATGCTGGCTGGACCTGTCAAAATCTTTAATTAAGGATCCACCATATTTTTTTAAAGAAAGAAATGCATTTTAGTCAAGGCAAACACAAAATAAATCAAACAGACATTTTAGATTAATAAAACTCCCATAAATACAAAGCTACATACTGTAATTAAATATCTTTAAACCCCTACAAATCTCCCACTCTATATTGGATGGTTATTGTCCTTATTTGCCTACCCCATTTAAATAATAGTGGAATCACATTTCTAATTAATCATGCTGTAGATTAATACAGTTTGATACCAGTTTAACTACTGTGATGCTATAGAACAGGCATGGGCAAACTTTGGCCTCCAAGTGTTCTGGACTTCAACTCCCACAATTCCTAACAGCCTACCGGCTGTTAGGAATTGTGGGAATTGAAGTCCAAAACACCCAGAGGGCCAAAGTTTGCCCATGTTTGCTATAGAATCATGGGAGAATGCTAAAGGCCTTGTAAAGTACAATTTCTATGATTCCACTGCATTTTTGACCATTTTTGAAATCAATTGGTATCTATATGCCATCATTATCATAGTTCTACCTCTCTAGAATGAATGAATGAATACACACACACACACACACACATACACACACACACAAATAAATAAATGTAATGTTCGTTTGTGGGATTAACAGAACTCAAAAACCAGTGGGCCAATTGACACCAAATTTGGACAGCATACACCTAACAACCTAATGTATGTCCTTCACTCATGATTTTGTCATTTGGGAGTTGTAGTTGCTGGGATTTATAGTTCACCTACAATCAAAGAGCATTCTGAACTCCACCAATGATGGAATTGAACCAAACGTGGCACACAGGACTCCCATGACCAACATAAAACACTAGAAGGGTTTGGTGGGCATTGACCTTGAGTTTGGGAGTTGTAGTTCACCTACATCCAGAGAGCACTGTGGACTCAAACAATGATGGATCTGGACCAAACTTGGCACGAATATTCCATATGCCCAAATATGAACACAGATGGAGTTTAAGGGAAATAGACCCTGATATTTGGGAGTTGTAGTTACTGGGATGTATAGTTCACCTACAATCAAAGAGCATTCTGAACCCACCAATGACAGAATTGGGGCAAACTTCCCACACAGAACCCCCATGACCAACAGAAAATACTTAAGGCCATCCAGTCCAACTCCCTTCACCGGGGCAAGAAAACATAATCAAAGCCCTCCTGACAAAGAGCCATCCAGCCATAGATAAAGAAAGATATATATGATTCACACACAGAGAGATATAGTATCATAGGTTTAAAAGGGACTCCTAAAGAAATGATATGTTGCATGTTCCAGAGTAGGCTAATCAGACAATCTCCACATCAACACTGACAAAGAAACAGCAAGAAATACTGTTTACCCACAAGCAGAAAGACATTACATATGTTAGAAATCAACATTTTCTCATTACTTTATTTTCCAGACCACCAGACCGGGCCACAGCAACGTGTGGCAGGGGATGGCTAGTCTGTCTATCTATCTATCTATCTATCTATCTATCTATCTATCTATCTATCTATCTATCTATCTAGATGTAATGTTCGTTTGTGGCATTAACATAACTCAAAAACCACTGGATGAATTGACACAAAAATTGAACACAATACATGTATCAGGCCAATGAGTGACCATCACTTGTAAAAACACTGAAAAACACAGCAGAAGAGACTTAAAAAGCCAAAAAAATATTTAAAAATACATTACAACATTTACGCAAAACCACATATACATACGCAAACACATATACACAAATATATATATACACACACAAAACACATATACACAGACTGGGCCACAGCAACACATGGCAGGGGACAGCTTGTGTGTGTGTGTGTACACACACATACACACACCACTATTTCTGAGCGTTGACCAAAATAATTTATATCTGTCTATACCACTTTTTTCCTCAAAATTGAGACCCAAAGTTGCTCACAATTTAAAATGCCATTAGCAAGTAAAAACATACAAAAGGTAAATATCAAAATTCATTACAATTATTAAAACAACTCCAAAAGGTGCTGCAACGTGTTTTGCTTTTAATGGCAATAACTGACCAAAGCGTAACCAACGTATTAGATTTGGCAATAATGTTTCCAATCAGATGCTTCACAAACACAACATAAATGTGTTGTCGAAGGCTTTCATGGCCGGAATCATTGGATTGCTGTGAGTTTTCCAGGTTGTATGGCCATGTTCCAGAAGCATTCTCTCCTGAAGTTTAACCCACATCTATGGCAGGCATCCTCTGAGAATCCCAAGACCCTGTCAGGATCTCAGCCTCATCCTTGGACTCACATGGCCTCTTTGGCCTTCTCTTCCACCAAGGTTTTGATGCCACATTGTGTTTTGGAGTTTTTGGAGATACTTCTTTTCCTTTCTCTCCAGTTGTGTCTGCCATCTTGCTTCACAAAAATATATGGCCTCCAAAGATGGGAATGGCAACTCACTGCACCAGTTATAAGGGGAGAACACAATCACTCTGAGAATGTGTGTGTGTGTGTGTGTGTGTGTGTGTGTGTGTGTGTGGATGAGAGAATGACTGGGTTTGGGGTCTATTTCGCCACCCAGAATAATTGGAAAGAGTTTGGCTGAAATAAGAGCCGTTCGATGAGCGTTTTCCAAATTGAGAGGACTTAAAAGTTAAGAAAGGAAGAGATATATATTTAAATGGATCAGCGCATGTCTGTTTCCAAGGCAATGTGAATGGAAAATAAAGGGTTTTCTCTCATGGCCTGGCTCCAGGTTGCCATAGCAACATATTAAGGAGCAGTTAATCGGGCAGGCCTTGATCCCAGAGAATTGCAAATAAGGTGGGCCTGGATTCGGCCCTCTTTTAGGCCCAAATCAATATACGAAAG